AGATGGAGCTTCTGCTGCTGAAGGAGGAACTGTTAAAGCTTGTGACGGATCCAAAGCCTGAAGCGGTCAGTGCGGAGTGGCTCGCGAAAGACGGGAAGGCTCGCGCTATGATCGGCTTGCCGGTGAACGACGGTCAGCTGGTTCACATCATTCGAAAGCAGACGGCGAACGAGATGTGGGACTCGTTGAAGCAGATTCGACACTTCACATCTTACGAAAGCTGTGTTCCCTGCGGCTATCGGACGAGGGTGATCTTCCCGAGCACCTGAACGAGATGACGGATTTGGAGAATCGTTTGCAGGTGATTGGGGAAGGTCTGAAAGATCGTGTTTTCATGGCGCTAATTTCATCGAGCCTTCCGCCATCGTATAGCAGCTTGATTAACGTGATCGAAAACAAGCCGGAGAACGAACTAACGGTGGATATCGTGAAGAGCAAGCTGCGCGACGAATGGCGTCGACGCTTCGAGTGCAACGGTGCCAGTGTGCATAGCAGCGAGAAGGTGATGAAAAGTGTGAAATCTAAAACGACGGACAAGAAGAAGAAGAAAGGTGTGTGCCATTACTGCCAAGAAGAAGGTCATTTTTGACGGGAGTGTCCGAAGTTGACCAAAGGTAGGCATGAGAAGAAGAAGTCGGAAGATGGAAAGGTGAATTTGGTTGCCGACCTCTAGCGCAAACCGATGGCATTTGGACTCCGGTGCCACGTCTCACATGACCAATGACAAGGAGCTCCTGAAGAACGTGAACGCAGCGAAGCAGCCGGAAATTTGTCTGGCCGATGGAACCAAAATTAAGTCGAGCGGTGCTGGAAGCGGAAAGGTGGTGTCAGTTACCGGCAAAGGTATTTGGATGGATGTCACTTTGAACGACGTGTACCATGTCCCTTCGTTGTCAGGAAACCTGCTCTTGGTGCGTAAAATTTGTGATTTGGGTTACAATGTTTTATTCGATCGATCTGGATGCAAAGTTTTGAAAGGTCAGGAAGTGGTGGCTTATACCGTTTGAAGAAATTTTCTCACCAAGCACTTGTGACCAAGGCTGCGCATCCGGACCTGTGTAAGCACCTGTGGCAGCTAAGGTTCGGGCATCGTGACCCGGGGCGGTATCGAAGATAGTGCGTGAAGGATTGGGCTTCGGGCTGAAAATGCAGAAATGTGAGATTCAGTCCGTTTGTGGAGTGTGATGTGAAGGAAAGATAAGTCGTATACCATTTCCAAAAAGAATCCAGCAGCAAGTCTGAAGCTGTGGGCGATTTAGTGCATTCAGACCTTGGGGGTTCAATTGAGAAGGCAACACTCAGTGAGTACAGGTACTACATGATGATGGTGGACGACTATAGTTGCTACACGGTAGTTTATTTGTTGAAAGCAAAGTCGGACAGTTGGAGGCGAACCAGCCTAAGGCTGAAAGCCTCCTAAATAAAGCTAAATAATAATAATACAAAGTCGGATACTGAATCAGGGAATACTGTGCATTGGTGAAGATCCAGTTTGGGCGTGCTCCGAAAGTTATTGGAACATAAGGAGGCAGGGAGTATTCTAATGCATCTTTAAGGAGCTACCTGACCGAGAACGGTATTATTCTGCAGCAAACGGCACCCTATTCACCGCAGCAGAATGGGAAGGTGGAACGTAAGAACCGGTATGAAGTAGAGATGGTGAGGTGTTTGTTGGCGGAGTCGGGTCTCAACAAGAAATACTGGGGCGAAGCGATTTTTACTGCAAACTATCTGCAGAATCGTTTGCAGTACAAATCGCGGTTGGTAGCTCAGGAGTTCAGTCAAAAGTTCGGACAGGACTACGATGAGGTGTTTGCCCCTGTGACAAAGCAAACTACGGTGAGGACTTTGCTGGCCGTTGTGAGTAAGCGAAACCTGACCCTGAAGCATTTCGACGTAAAGACGGTCTATCTGTACGGAAAACATGAAGAGGAGCTGTACATGAAGCAGCCAACTGGGTTCGAAGTCCAAGGCAAGGAGACGTTGGTCTGTCGCTTGAGGAGGAGCATCTACGGTTTGAAGCAGTCAGCCCGCTGTTGGAACCACCGGCTACATTCCGTTTTCCTAGGGCTAGGCTTCGAGCAATAACTATTCGATCTGGAAGTTCAAGATGGAGCTTCTGCTGCTGAAGGAGGAACTGTTAAAGCTTGTGACGGATCCAAAGCCTGAAACGGGCAGTGTGGAGTGGCTCGCGAAAGACGGGAAGGTTGGTTCCATGCTTCTACACGAAGATCGTCAAAAGAAAGCGCGTCTACTTGCTGGTTTATGTGGACGATATTCCTGTTGGCAGTGAAAGCGATGCTGAAATAGAGAAAATCTATAATGCACTGAGACAGGAATTTGAGCTGACTGATCTCGGTGATTTGAACTACTTTCTGGGTCTGGATGTTACCAGATCGGAAGGAAAGTACATCATCTCTCTTGAAGGCTACATCGACCGTGTGGCTTAACGATTTGGACTTCGTGACGCAAAGGTTGCGAAGACTCCAATGGAAGAAGGATTCACGAAAACTGACAACAAGAGTCCGCTTTAGAGGATGTGACGAAATACAGAAGCCAAGTTGGAGCTCTACTGTATATTGCAGTCTGTGCAAGGCCGGACATTGCAGTAAGTGCTTCAGTATTAGGAAGAAGTGTTAGTGCACCGCGGGAAGAAGATTGGGCGCGGGGATCGCCAACGGGGGGTTGGCGATACTGCCAAACAATGAAACCACTGGAAGCGGATTCTATTTTGATGAATAGGGCTTATTGGATAGCGGTAGACAAAGTGTTTGTTGTGTTGTACCTTTTGACTCTAGTTTTATGATGTTTTTCGATTGAGCCTTATCAAATAAATCAATAAATACAAAATAAAACAAGCTAGTTCCACGCGTTAAAACGATTTAGGATGATCGGAAAATTCACACAAGAACTAAGCTATCCACCCCTAAAACGAACAATAGTGACATACATATAGTTAGGATCTCTCAAAGAGAAATATAGGAAGTAGGAGTTTGATCTAATCTGGCTCCTGGTAACCCGGAACCGAATCGTGCCGGCACATGTCCCGATCGTAAATTAGCAATAATATTCGAGTAATTTCGTCACAACTCACAACGCATAAATAGAATCCCAGCACTGGCTGCTTCGAACCATTATTGCTTCCACTAGGTAGGTTGTTTCACACTGCTGCATTGCTTCTGCCGGTCGGTACGGTACGTGATTGGATTCTATTTATGGCAGCTCCTCTCGCTCCTGCCGCTCTGACGGCTGCATACATACCTACGTTGCGTAATTGATTGAAGGTAATTAAAAGTGGGAAAATTTGAAAATCCGGTGATAAAGCTTCACCCCTACCACCCCCACACCCCCTCCACCCCTTCAGCACTGAATGCAGGTGTGCAATCGATTCACCATCCGGAATCATTTCGGATCGATAAAACACAGGATTTAGTCGTAAAACAGTAAGGCTTCCGGATTCAACGAAATGGACAACCACTTGCCGAGAGAGCGATGAAAAGAAGAAAAAGCTCTTCAACCGCAAAGTACTCTCTCATCATCATCATCATCGCCATCCTCGTCGTAATCATCATCACCATCAATAAACCATCCCGGTCCAAGAAGCACTCTGATCGGCCAGATAATTCGTTTCGATGATTTATTGAGCGGTTCGCTTTTCTAATATTTTCGTTCCGCTTCCGATGCTCTTCATCCTGTCCGTTCTCTATCTGTTCGTTGATCTGGTGGGACACAGTGCCAGAGGCACCTACCTACTTCTAATTGAGTGGATATGGATGTTGTCTGCGTCGAACAAAAAAAAAACATAAATGCCAGGACGTGGTGGACGTGATACGGGGATTAATGAAACGTTGTTTATCAGATAAGCGAGTCGTTCGGAAAAATGTAACGAATTCGTGCAAGGACCACTTCAGTCGTTTGATTGACCCTTAGCCGAACGAAACGATGCGGCTAGTGGGGTTTGTGGTTGAAACAGCTGTCGGGGAGGGAGTGAAAGAGATGTGGTAGAACTTAGCTTTGATTTATTTTATCATTGACTTCGAGAATAAACTCAGAATTTCTCCTAGAATTTCTTTCAAAATTATCCTGAAACTCTTAAGGTCATTTAGGGAATTCTTTATGACTTACTTCACTTGATTTTCTTGAAGCTAATTATGAAGATCCCCAGAAATTCTTCGGAGATTCTTTTGATATCCGACCGATTTATCCGAATCGTACTTCAATTTTAGATAAGCGAAATGCAGACTTATGAACAACAAATTATACTCTATCGATTGGCAAGTTTTGCCCTAGAGCAGTGTTGGAAAAATTTGAAATAGATCAAATCTCATCAATGAGCATAATCTCATTTGATTACCGTAAACAAATACTATCAACAAGCAAACAGCAGCGGATGATGTTACAAGCTGTGATGCGGTAGCTCTGATATCATGCTAACAAAACTCACCAGCTACAATTCTCACCAAACTGTGGTGAGTTTGAGCTCAAAGATTTTTGCTGTACACCCGAACACGAACCGAAACTTCCAATCTCCGCTGGCAGCAGTATCTTCGTGCTCACCCGAACCTTCATGGCAGTGACCACCATCCAATACTCATCCAGCTCTGAGCGGGGTTGACACCTGTAACGACGCGGCGTCCAAGATGGCGATACGACCAGGCAGACTGGGTGGTCAATGAGACTGTTGGGTACCCCCCACCGGTTTCACCACAAGGGCTCGTCAGCTGGCAGCCGTCAGCCTGACAGATGCAACCACGGATGAATCGGTGATGAGCTATCATTATGAAGATTAGAAGTTTGCGATAGCCGCGATTTACACGCATTATGTACTAGCCCTTTAACTAATAAAAATAGTTTTTAATTTGTACCGTGAATCGTGCGTTTCTCTCCCTCACTCAATATCGCAACAGTTGGCGACGAGGAGGTGGAAGTTTTCGCGAAAACAATCGTGCGCGACCGTTTCGTAAAGCTCAAGTAAAAATCGTGCTTAGGAGGACACCGTGATGGCGCAGAACAATGGTGTGCCGCCGAATGCAGGTGCCGGACAGATGCCACAACCACCGAACATTCAGGATCAGGTGATGCAGATCCTCACGAATCAGCAGATGTTGATGGCGGAAATGGCACAACAGCTGGCCGCCACCCAAGTTGCCATCAGGAATCTCTCCCCCGATGAAAGAGTTCTGGACTCGTTATCGAGTAACATGGCGGAGTTCGTGTATGACAAGGACAATGGTCACACGTTCGACGCATGGTTTTCTAGATACGTCGATCTCTTTGATAAAGACGCTTGGAATCTCGATGACGCGGCAAAAGTGCGACTGCTTCTGCGAAAGCTAAGCCCACCCGATCACGAGCGCTATAATAGCTTCATACTCGTGAGTTCTGTTTCAAAGAGACCGTCGAAAAGTTAAAGTCTCTATTCGGAGCCACAGTATCTGCTTTTCGCCGCCGATTCAATTGCCTTCAACTCGCAAAGGAGGACAGTGATGATTACCTGGCATACTCATGCAAGGTTAACAAGGCTTGCGTCGATTTCAAGCTTTCGGAATTGACTGAAGAGCAATTTAAATGCCTTATTTACGTCTGCGGTCTAAAGGGAAAGCAGGATGCTGAAATTCGAATGCGGCTTATCAACAAGTTCAATGAAGCCGTCGATCTTACGCTACAGCAAGTCGTGGAGCAGTGTAACAGCCTCGTCAACCTAAAGCAGGACGCCGTCCTAGTCGAGAATCCGTCGTCCGTGGTGAATGCCGTTGCTTACAATAAGTGGCCGAAGTCGAGACATCAGTCAGCAGTATCGAATTCGTTCCATCCCCATCAACGTGAGCAACCGAAGACTCCCTGCTGGTCGTGCGGGGGGATGCATTACAAAAAGGACTGCCGATTCCGCGACCGCAAATGCAACGAGTGCGGTAAGGTTGGGCACCGCGAGGGCTATTGTGCCTGTTTCCAATCGAGGGCTTCGTCTAACGCATCGACACACACTGCATCGAAGAGGAAGCGACCCTCGACGAAGACCGTGACCATCCACAACAGCAGCCAGGGTAGAAAATTCGTCGAGCTCCAGGTCAACAACGTTCCTCTTCGATTACAATTGGACACAGGATCCGATATATACTTAATTTCGCACCGATCGTGGATCAAAATGGGTCAGCCGAAAACAAAACCAACGGTGTGCACCGCACGAACGGCTTCCGGACATCCACTCAAGCTGGTTGCCGAGATGTGGTGCAGCATTTCCCTCAACAACGTCACCAAAGAGGGTAAGTGGTTCGTTGCCGCTCCTAACGTCAGTCTTGATATTTTAGGCATCGACTGGATGGATTTGTTTGGGTTATGGAACCATCGTTTTGTAATCAGGTCAGCGCTCAACCAAATCAGTCGCTGGCTACTCTGCAAGCCAAATTCCCGGAAGTATTCAGCAGCAAGGTAGGCCTCTGCACGAAGGCTCCTGTCAAGCTGGTACTGAAAGGAAACCCAAATCCAGTTTTTAGACCAAAGCGTCCCGTAGCCTACTGTATGGAAGGTGTGGTAGAGGATGACATCTGTCGGTTGGAGTCCCTAGGCATCTTGAAGAAGGTGGATTTCGCTGATTGGGCAGCCCCGATCGTAGTGGTTCGGAAGTCCAATGGAACCGTCCGAATCTGTGCTGACCGAATCTGTGCTGATTTTTCAACCGGGCTCAACAATGTGCTGGAGCCAAATCAGTACCCCCTACCGCTGCCCGAAGACATCTTCGCCAGAATGTCCAGTTGTCGGGTGTTCAGTCACATCGACCTTTCCGATGCCTACTTACAGATCGAGGTAGATCCAGAAAGCCAACAATAGCTCACCATAAACACCCACAAGGGCCTCTTTCAATTCACCCGCTTATCGCCCGGCATCAAATCCGCTCCAGGTACATTCCAACAGCTAGTGGATACGATGCTTGCCGGTCTCACTTGTACCGTTGGGTATTTGGACGACATCGTAGTGGGTGGTCGAACGCAAGAGGAACATCAACGCAATCTTCACCTCACCTTGCAACGGCTGCAAGAATTCGGCTTCACGGTCCGCATCGAAAAATGCAGCTTTTACATGCGTCAAGTGAAGTACCTCGGACAAATACTCGATAGTGACGGGATTCGTCCGGATCCAGACAAGATTGCACCGATCGTCAGTATGCCAACACCGAACGACGTTACCACGCTGCGGGCGTACCTTGGAGCTGTAAATTATTATGGCAAATACGTTCCAGAGATGCGCACCCTTCGACACCCTATGGATCAGCTACTGAAGACTGGTGTAAAATTCGAGTAGTCACCTGCTTGCCAAAGATCGTTCGACCGATTCCGGAAATCCTCCAGTCCCCACTTCTGTTGACGCATTATAATCCAAACTTGAAAATAGTTGTGTCGGCGGACGCTTCCTCAATCGGGTTAGGTGCCCGGATCGCTCACAAGTTCCCGGATGGCACTGTAAAAGCTATTTGCCATGCTTCGCGCAGCTTGACAGCAGCGGAGAGTAATTATAGCCAAATCGAGAAGGAGGGTTTGGCTCTGATATTCGCCGTGACCAAATTTCACCGAATGATTTTCGGGCGGCGTTTCGTGCTCGAGACTGACCACAAACCTTTGCTTGCCATATTTGGGTCGAAAAAGGGCATCCCCACATATACCGCCAATCGACTGCAGAGGCGTTGACATTACTTTTATATGATTTTGACATCCATTATGTCTCGACGGAAGCTTTCGGAGACGCAGATATCCTGTCTCGCCTGATCAATCGCCATGTTCGTCCGGAAGAGGAATTCATCATTGCCAACGTCGAGTTCGAAAGCAGTATCCGAAGCATCATGAACCAGTCGCTGGAGGCCCTGCCAGTTTCGTTCAAGATCGTACAAGCCAAGACCCGTAAGGACAAAACTCTGCAACAGGTAGCCCAGTACGTCAAAACAATGTGGCCGGAGAATAAAGCTAGCATCACGAATCCACACATCCAGGAGTTTTTCCATCGTCGCGAGGCCCTCTCAATCACCGCTGGCTGCTTGATGTACGGTGAACGATTAGTGCTACCAGTCGTTCTTCGAAATAAAGTGCTTGCACAGCTACATAAAGGCCATCCAGGTATCGACCGAATGCGTTCTCTTGCGCGTCAGTACGTCTACTGGCCCCATATCGGATATCGAACACCTGGTGCAAACGTGCAATGAGTGTTCGAGTGTAGCGAAGACGGATCGTAAAACCTGCCTCGAGTCGTGGCCAGCCCCGGAGAAACCCTGGCAACGAATTCATCTCGATGACGCCGGTCCTATGGATGGGTGGTACTACTTCATCCTAGTGGACGCCTACACCAAGTGGCCGGAAGTGGTCCAAACAAAAGATATTACATCTGCAGCGACGCTCCGAATCCTACGCAACATTTTTGCCAGATTCGGGTTTCCAGAGACGGTGGTGAGTGACAACGGGACTCAATTTACGAGCGAAGTATTCGAGGCTTACTGTGAGTCCAACGCTATTCTGCACCTGAAGACTGCTCCCTATCATCCGCAGTCGAACGGGCTCGCTGGAAGGTTCGTCGACACCTTTAAGAGGACGTTGAAGAAAATTACCGCCGGAGGGGAAACGCTGCAAGAAGCTATCAGCACTTTCTTACAGTGTTACAGGTCAACACCATGTCGGAGCGCACCCGAAGGAAAGTCGCCTGCCGAAATGTTGCTCGGCAGACCGATTCGCACGTCGTTAGAACTGCTTCGACCACCAACTCCAACGCACAAAATTGAAAACTCCAAGCAAGAAGAGCAGTTCAACAGGAAGCATGGTCCGATACCATCAGGACATTGTCTGGGCCAAAGTGTTCCGAAACAAAAAGTGGCACTGGGAAGCAGGAGAAGTGCTTGAACGTATAGGAAAGGTCATGCACAACGTCTGGTTGCCTGGAAAGCAATCTCTGATAAGGTCCCACAGCAATCAGTTAAGAACCCGTCATCTGTCCGACAAGCAACTGCCTGCGTTCGAATCACCAAGGGATCAGCAAACTCCGTTGAGTATCCTGCTGGGCTCCTGGAACCTGAATGCTTTAACGCCCGAACTGGATGATCTGCCTCCTCTTCCTCCTGAGCTGAATGAAGATCTGCCCCCGCAGGTCAGTCATCGTCAACAACACAGTTCCCCTCAACAACAGCAACAACAACCAACAGCAGCTCGCACGTCTTCGAGGACTCGAAGGCTTCCTGCGAGATATGTGCCTTACCATCTGTGTTAAAAAGGGGGAGGTGTTGGGTACCCCCCCACCGATTTCACCACAAGGGCTCGTCAGCTGGCAGCCGTCAGCCTGACAGATGGAACCACGGATGTATCGGTGATGAGCTATCATCATGAAGATTAGAAGTTTGCGATAGCCGCGATTTACACGCATTATGTACTAGCCTTTTAACTAATAAAAATAGTTTTTAATTTGTACCGTGAATCGTGCGTTTCTCTCCCTCACTCAATATCGCAACAGAGACTTATGTCAATATACTATTAAAGCAAAAGAATCCTACTGATTTTTCAGAGTCCTCAGAATATGATCCTCGATGCGGCACGACTAGCCATTCCCCAGCCTGGCCCAACTTCCAAGCGAAAAGCTCTTCGCTGGTGGTCTGAAGAGACAAAAGCGGCAGCAAAGCTAGATGAAAGGCACTTCGGTGTGTCAAGCACCTCCCAGCCGACCACCCGCAAAAGGAATTAGCTCTACAAACATAAAGAGAACGGCACTACCAATGTAGGCCGGGATGCCAAACGGAATAGTTGGACAGACTTCCTGGAGAGCATAAATGCTTCCCAGCCGTCCGCGGACCTGAGAGGAAAAGTAATTCCCTATAGCGGAAAAAGGCTGTGGTGCTCAAACAATACCATCTACTGCCGATGTTACCAATTTCCAGATACCACAAGACAGCATCAACTCTCCAATTACCCAAGACTTCTCCTTCGAGGAGCTGCAATTTGTATTACGATACAGTACCGAAAACTCGGCCGATCCAGACGAAATAGGTTATCGCCGTTTGATAAATCATCATATCGACGGAAAGGACAAACTATTGGACCTTTACAACGAGGTGTGGCGTACTGATGACTTTCCGACCGCTTGGCGAGAAAATTTTGTGATCCCGATCCCAAAGGCCAACGCCATCACACGAGGTACCGATAAATTCCGCCCGATTGCTGAGCAAGCAAGGTGCTGGAAGGCATGGTCAATCGTCGACTTCGCGCTGCATTCGAGGAAAATGGATACCTTGACCGCCTCGCTCGGAGAACTGTTAAAGGACACACAGGAAAAGAACCACCAGGCAAAGATCGTCTCCTTGGTTATCTCCAAGGAATTTAACAGAACATGGCCGCCGTTAGTATTGCTAGAGCTTGTCAGCTTTGGACTTAAGGAAAATATCCGTCCCTTTAACCGAAGCTTTTTGTCTATACGATCGTTTAAAGTAGGGTTGGTAATACCGGCACATTGTTCCTAAAACCGGTTTTACGGTATTGAAAATTCTAATACCGGTAAAACCGGTATTTGGACGAAGTTCTAAAAGAAATAAAAAGCTGCATAATTTGTATAAAAAGCGTTTATTGGTCAACGATTGAATAAAAAAAATGCACTATTCAAAGCTTGGCCTGTTCGTTAAAATAACCTTTGAGAACGCAAAGAGCGTTTATCGTTTTATCTCCCAAACGAGAACGGAGCTTACTGACAAAGTTTCCGGATGCCGAAAATGCTCGTTCAGGACGTACAGTGCAAAGGGCATCGTAAATGATCTTCATGTATTTGCCTTTCAAACTCTCTGCATCGTAGTAGGCGAACTCTTGTCGAACAACTTTTGTCAAACTGTTTGCTGACGTTGACGTTGAGCCAGAACTAGAAGCTGCAAACTTCGACTGCTGCAACCTTCTTTCAAATTTTTCCTTCGCGGTCAAACCATCGTTCTCTGCATCATCTAGTCGATTGAGTTCCTCTCTTCGCTCGATCTCTGCATTCATTCCGTTCCCTTCCAAATCAATCAAACGATGTAGTATTTCAATCGACTGCTTTATCAAAGCAGTCCGCGAGGTCTTGAAGAATATTCCAAAGTCATTTGTCATTGTATCGCGGACAGAGCGGTTGCTCATAAATGTAAACAAATCTGCGTAGACGAACCGTCTTTCTGAAATTCTTCCAACAAGAGACTCGAGGAGCTGTTTCGCGATATTTGAAGTTTGTTCCGAGAGCTGCTCTAGCATAAAGTGTAAGCCCACATCGGCTTCATAGATCGTACAATCCTTACGACACAGCAGTTCAACAAGAACTGGTTCCAGCGCTTCAACAATTTCTTTGATTGTTATCAGTTCTTCTTCGCTAAAACTAATCTTGTTCTTGGTTTTCAGATCGAGCAGGGATTTTTGAACCGCAGTCCGGAGGTCGTAGAATCGGCAGTCAGCAAGCAAACTTATCCAGTATTTTACGATCGCTTATGGCCGCCACAATCTGGCTGAGATTCTGGTAGGGAACATAAGATTTGAAGTTTGGCTTGTGTCGTTTGACGTGTAAACGTTCAAATTTGAACGTTTACACGTCAAACGACACAACCCAAAGGTCAAATCATATGTTCCCTACCAAAAACTCAGTCAGATTGTGGCGGCCCTAAGCGCTCGTAAAATGCTGGATTTCTTTTCCGTGGTCTGCTTTGACATTTTTCTGGAGTACTTCGTTATTTTTCACTGGAGATTTTCTGAAGAGCTTCACTGTATCTCGTACTTTTTTCACCGTTGTACAGTATTCGGGCATAATTGTGTGTTCGTCGTGATCTGTATTGCCAATCGTGAAAAAATCGGCGTTTCCATCATCGTCATCATCCTTATCTGTGTCAGTATCACAGTCTGAACCTATAAATTGAATAATGAGGATCATAGCAACCGGTGAACACTCGTGTTTGTTTCAGTTACCATGGAGACGAAATTTGTGATTAGCCCCGGTCCCTTTCAAATTGTATCATTATTTATGAACGGTCTTGTATTTGAAATGACGTTTCACATTCATCTAGTGATGTCCGATTTTCATTCGAATAATCGTTTAATCGATTAACGAACCGAAAAGTAAACTATTTATAATCGGTTAGATCATGCCGATATAAGCATTGACATCTCCACAGGATCATCACCGATCGTTTCAAACATGTGCTGCACTCTCATTGGTGGAAAAATGGCAGCACAGCGAACAAAAAATAATCGATTGGTTGTTAATTGAGTAGTTAAAAAATGGGACATCTCTGATTTTGGTGTGATTGTTTTGATAAAAATGAGCGCAAAATCTCATCTCTTCCGAGGGGGCAGCAAAACCACAAAATTATCTTGAATACGGGGGGTTCTCATTGGATGAAAGGGACCGTGAAAGAGGACACTAAAATAGAAAGTTTTTCTTCCGACAGTTTCATCTTAGTATTCATCTTTGATCATAGTTTTACTTAAATTTTAAGCTAAATTACCTGCGCTCTCTCCGAATTCCATGTAGGCGGCCGGCTTAGATACTTTCTTGTACAAAACGTCGATTACTGCTAGGTGTATTCCATGTGCTAAACAAACTTGATGCGTAGCGGGGACCTCGTTGCCAACTTTTTTCATCACCGACGCTCCATCTGTTGTGATAGCCATCACGTCCTTCTCCAGTGATATTCCATACTGTTCCGTTTTCGATGAAAGTAGCTCAACACACCGGTCCGCGTTCATGGATCCATCTACTCTTTGCAGGTCTAGGTTCCACGTTTTGTTGGCAGCATGAGCATTTACATTCATGTAACGTCGATTCCTTCCGGTATTCGTTGAAGACCTTCTCAAAAAACATTTCCACTCGATGCCTTATTCCTGCATATTGTGTGGAATGAAATTCCATCTTTAGCAGATAGTCGAGCAAGAACAGCATCGATAGGGCAAGCCTTTGAAAAATATTGAACGATGGTTCTATTTTTCGCACTGGATCCGGATGTTGATGCAATTTGCTCAGATGTTTCAGACGGGGCAGATGCATTTCGTTTGCCAATATTATTTCATGTTGTGTTCGGAGATGCGCAATTAATCCACTTGTGCTAGAACCTTCACACTTGATAACTTTATTGCACTTGACACACTTTGCAATTCCTCTGTTCTGTTTTCCTCTAAAGAAATAGTTCCAGGCAGAATATTCTGGCACTCCTGGCTTCACCTTTTCTTCAAAATCCGTTTTGTAATATTGTTCTCACGGAATTGGTTCAAAATCTCCGCGTCTGAATCTTGCCAACTTGTCAACGAAAACGACTACTACATGGCTGCGCACTTTTAACCCGAAACATATTCAATCATTCATGCCGTCTCTCTAATTCATACCGATTCATTGACCAGACCAACAATGACGTTCGTGAGTTATTCGTGTCAACAGAGCTTAACAAACCTTAAGTTCCACCTGTCTCGATACACGCTAACATCATTTTACTCAGACGATTCGAAGAGATTACCCAGATTGGGCATAAAGCGGACTTGGTGGTGTAGTTTAGCCAATTTGGTTAACATGTTCAAAATTAAGAGAGCTGCTTTTATTTTTCTTTTAAATTGATTATACTTTTGAAGCGGCGCCGGTGGTGTAGTGGTAAGCGTGATTACTTCTCACCCATGCAGGCCTGGGTTCAATTCCAGTCGGCACCGCCGGGATGTTCTGAGGCATAACATCTCTGATCACGCCTTCCTTCGGAAGGGAAGTAAAGCCTGGTGTGGGAGCTGCCTTCCTGGCGTCGGTAGCATTGGTGCTCAGCACGGAAAACAAGATCAACGGAAAACAAATAGAGGAAAAAAAAAGATTATACTTTTGCAATAAAATACCGAAAATACCGGTTTTTGTTTTAGAAAAACCGGTATTTCGGTAATGAAAAACAGCACGGTAATACCGGTAAAACCGGCTTTGGTATAACCGGTTAACCAACCCTAGTTTAAAGTCACCGTGGTGAAGTCTTCTTCTTTCCCGATGAAAATAGGGGTGCCACAAGGATCGGTTATCGTTGTGACGATTTTCCTAATAGCGATGAAACGGTTCATTACTCATTTGTCACTCAACTTCTACATTTTTGTCTACGCGGATTACGTGCTAATTGTGACCACCGGCCACACCATCGCAAGGACTCGCATTCAAGGACAAGCAGCTGTATCGGCAGTATCCAAATAGGTGGCCTCAGCCGGGTTCCAGCTCTCAGCAGCAAAGAGTATCCGCTGTAATGGCTGCGCTTCCAT